CACACTCGTGCTCACTCTCATACGCACGCGCGCGCCGGGGTTTCCCCATGCTCGCTTCGTTTGTCAATCCCAATTTTCATTTCAGCATTTTTTTCAATATCATTTTTCAAATCACATTTTCAAATCACATTTTCAAATCACATTTTCAAATTATTCGTTTCCATTGGTGATACGAAATGTCTGCTTAATTTTCTCACAACTTCTATTCGATGTATGTTTTTTAAATGATATTAGTACCTCAACGTGCATATGTTTATCATTTTAATCAAGTTTTAAATAGTGTCGATACCTCGACATATAATAGTGATATACGTTATTAAAAATAATTCTTTCGTTGCGTACTTTAATTCTGTACTATACTTTCAACATTTTCAGTTAACAATGTATTGAGGATGGGGGGGGGGGGGGTTTCTCGCTGCTCGGTTCCCTCTCCAAACCCCGAAAAACAAATTTAAACGAAGGCAATAGGAGGGGCAAATGAAGTGCAAAAACGGGACAAAAAAGGACAGAATAGACAAAAAGGGGTAAATATGGGTGCACCAGATGAAACAATAGGGCTTATCCACTCGTGTATACGCGCGTGCATCGGCAGGCGTTTTACTGTAATTTGCGAATAGCCACTCTTTCTTTCGCTACATTCTGCTTCTATTTTACGCGCCTTAGTTTTTAAAAATAAACGTGATTTTTTTTCCCTTCTTCGCGCTGGTACGCGCTTGTTTATCCGATTTACGTAATGGACTTATTTACGAAGTCGCGTTTTCGCGCTCGATTGATCGCGCGCTCAGCTTCTGCAATATGAAAAATCGTGGCTTGACGTAATGTCTATCTTCATTTTTACCGCGAGATATCTGCACCGGAAAATAACATTTAGATAATAAAAGAGGAAGAGAAAAAATGAAATAGAAACGTGGCTAATGGGAAATGATTTGGCGCTGAAACGAGAACACACTTCGGCGTTGACAACGCGTGTACAATGTGAAAGAGATGGCTGCCTCTTTCTCGGGGTCGCCGTGTCCGCTTACGTCACACCGACGACGACGACCCGGTGACCCTATCGAATTCGCGCTAGGGTGAATTTACATCGCGATTTTCAAATGTTGCGAGTGTATAGGTATTTGCTAATATACTTGTTTATATTAAGACTTTACACGAGGAAACATAGTAAAGGATAATAATTAATCATCGATATATTTATGTATAAAAATGAGCAATCGCAAAGCATATTACCATTGCTGGTAAAAAAACACGCATTTATAGTGTCACGTGGACAAATACAATGCAACCACGTAACTGTAAAATAATTACGGGAACTTCTTTTTTCTCCAGTGTTGGAATTAAAAATATTTTTTTTAATCTTCTATGCAATTATTTCAAGTTTTCGGAAAATACTGTGTTGATTAAAAATATTTATAAATCAGTTGGAAACCAAATATTTATACAATAGTTTCTGAAAACATATTTGAAATTTTTGAAAAGCTACGTAATTAGTACGATAGTAGACAAAATAATCATATTTTTTAACACCGTTATACAACCGTCCGATTAATATGAAAAAAATAGTCAAAATATTTAAACTAGCAACTAAACAAAAATTATTGAATATGAGAAAAGTGCATTTTATGCAAATATAGACAAGAAAAAACGTGGTTACGCGGGTCGCGAAAGCGAGGTTATGCAAGTCGTCCGCGCGAAACTTCTCGATGCACACGATTCGACTATATTTAATAAAACGCGAAAGATTTACACTAACCTGATTGTATTCATTAAAAGTTGCGGAAAAATCCGGAACTCCAAAGGATCCTTTACGTGAAAAATAGCGCCTGGTCTCTCGCGTGTCGACCGCATGCGTTTGCCGCTATATGAGAGAAGTAGGAGCACATGTCGATGGCGCGCCACCCGTTGCCGACGGCCTCTTCCGCTTTTGCGCAACAACTTTTGCGCAGCTCCCCGCGCAGTCTATTTTTCATCAGAAAGCGCGCTAAATCTTTGGAATTTTAATCTGTTACTTTTTTGGTCGAATGTTAGAAACATTTATGATTTTTGAGTTTTTGAGAGAGTTTTTTTGTTATTGAAGCTACGATTTTTGGGTTGTAATTTGAAAAATGTTTGAAGACCCGGAAAAGGAAGTGTCGAAAGTGAAGAGAAAGACTTGAATCGGTAACGTCTGTCCGGCTGGCAGATTATTCACGGAAAGTAATCATGGTGACATCTAGTAGTTCAGAAACTAAACTTTTATCAACAATTAGTTTGTTATTGATAGATGGTATTTCGAAACAAGTGTTACCGTTTGGTGTTAATCCATATCACACTTTAATATACATATGTGTGTGTGTGTGTGTGTCTGTGTATATGTATATATATGTATATATGATAAATATTGAAGTTTATTGAAAAATGAGCATATTATAATTTTTTTTATAATTGTGCAGTTCAGCAAACATAAAATAATCATAAATTTTGTTGAATAGGTTAATAGCAAAATAATATTTATTTATAAAGTATGTGTTGAACTAATGTACGTTCTAATTTTTTTGTGTCACGCCAGCGAGCATTTAAGACGAGGAGCAATAATCACTTTGACGCTAACCATCTTTGCTATATGAAAAAAGGTGTTTAGCCAAATCTGCAGCTGTCTGCTACACGTCCAACTTAATTTCGATTATTCTTTTAACTTTGTATTATAAATAAATATGAGTAACGGTTACAGACCATTATACACATTTATTTTACAGTTTTTCTAACAGAAAACCGTTTTATTCTATATGTGAATGAGAAACTTCAGGTTACATTCTATGAGCAACGCGAAGTAGCGATCTTTCAAACGCTTAGCAATAAGAAGGTAACGACAGCCAAGGATCGTAGCCAAAACATAGGGACGGACGCATGCCTATGGAGAGAAAAGATTCGACAAATTCAGTGGCTACGCTTTGAAGAGTCAATAGGTTAATTTTCAAAAAGCCTTAAGTATCTATATTATACTTAGTATTCACATTATACAATTTTATAATAAATTCACGGAATCACAAATATATCGTATCTCATTTTATTAATAAAAAGTGTTTTCTACATATGCTGATCTGTTTTTCAGTTAGACCTTCGCTATATTATTTTATTTTGCTCAAACTTGATCAAAGTCAAAAGTAAAAGCTAATAATCTTGAAAAACATTCACGGTTTTCAAGCTAATAATATTGAAAACCATACTCCGACAATTTTGTTTTATGAAATCCCGATTTGCATAGCACAACGATATGCAAAGTGAATATCACCATAGAACTACGTCTATCACTTAAATTTATGTTTTAATACGATAAAGAAGATGACAGACGTGTTCTTTATACACACACGTCCACGCACGAGATTATTTTCTTATAAGAAACAAGCAGTGTGCAACGGTTTAAAGTAACAGCATTTTCCTCTATATAAGTTCAGATGCAAAGAACTGTTTGACATGGTAAATAGAAAAACAAAACAAAATCGGAGTATCAATGTCGGCAGTATATGAATCGATTAGAAGTGGTAAACCTGGAAAAGTAAATAAAGGAATGCTTTAAAACGGCACTGCGACTTTTATGTACCCATTTCATGACAACAGACGGGTAAGCGATTCCCAAGAGTCCTTGCTGAGACCTTTCAGGATTTTTCGCACATACGTACATACACACACACACACACACACACACACACACACACACACACACACACACACACACACACACACACACATATATAGCTACGACCTACACGTGGTAGATACACAGACTATGTACATACATGTGAGTTATAATAGCTTGTCCACTGCAGGTTGCTGTTACTGCGGGAGCTCTTTCTAAATTTGCAGTACCCGTGACGATGAAAACTTGAAGCATAGTCAGAACATAACTTATTTTCGTCTCACCCCGTGTAAAAAGTTTTTCGTCGTTTAGCGAAATTGTGACAAGTATGTTTGGTTGAATGTTTTCAAAAAAAACATTTGACAACCATATGTACGTAATCAACTTCGTAATATTTTGAACTTATATATAACTTCGTCTGCATTCAAATTTAGCAAAGGCATTTCAAATTTTTTGGCTTCACGGCTTCAATCACATAAAACAATAAAGAAGGTATATATCTCTTTCAGAATGAAAACTCGCTAATTAAATAATATTCATATTACATTGGATCGTTGCACAATCTTTCAAAACGTTTTACAATAATTTTATGAGAGTGTAAATATCATTTTTATAGAAACCGTATTTGCTTAAAAGACATCTTCCATAGTTTCATAAATTAGTATAAGTTACAGTGTTAATATTACGAAGAGAAAAATGTAGATTAAGGACTTTTTATCATTCGTTCTCGTAGGCTAATTTTACGCACGGGCACACGTGCTAAACAGTTAAGCTTGTAAAAAATAGTCAACGTGTTAGGCGTTTTGCTCTACACACTAGAAACTACTTCAGGTGACTGAGAGTGCAACTATTCGCGAAGCGCCCCGCGCACTGTACTTGTCTTCGCTGCTCCATTTCAAGAATAGATAATTTTAGTTTCTATGCAATATTGTCCATAACTACGTCAAATTAGCGCGAATTTGTATCCATATTGTCATTGCTGGGACAAAGAATAGCTTAATAGTTATTTTGAATAAGCACAATTTGCCAATAGTATGCAAATAAAAGGATATTTGAATAATTATTTGGATCCTAATGTGTATAAATAATTGACAATGAATGTAATTATCGCAATCATTGGTTACGAATTTCCCCAAGCAGGCAGCGCTGAATGCAGGAGCTACTGCGAGTTCGCGCAGGTTTAATATCTCTCTCGTGTACGTATAGGCAAGCAACCGCGCAGCACGATCCACGGAAACGCGTGCGAGAGAGAGAGAGAGAAAGGGCGGGAGGGAAGGAGGGAGAGAGAGAGAGAGAGAGAGACAGAGAAAGAGAGAGAGAGAGAGAGAGAGATGGGGCGCTCGCGTATCGCCATGTCGCGTGTATATCGTGTGTCGCTTGGCGGCGCAGCAGCACAAGTCTAGAAGCAAGCAACGGCTTCGCTTGGGCAAAGAGAGTTCCCTGGAATAGCGTAAAAGCTAAGCCGCGCCCAAGACGATCTAGTAGCTAAATCGAGCACCTAGCATCTTGCAAGAAGGCTTACTGAAGCTTGAGGCTGGCATTTTTGGTAAGTAAAGCTAACAAAACTGGCATTTTTTCCACAAAATACGGACTACTAAGCCATAGCTACGGGAGCTGGCTGAGCTGCCTACCCGTAAACTTTGAACTGCGCATGCACCGTACCGCGAGATTTAAAAATTTTTTTACTTTGTTCGCACTAAAGATTTAGTCATTCTTGTCGTTCACGTCTTGCAATTTAGGTATTGATACGAATCTTTATCTACTTCCTATCGATTAATTTACGATCTTTAGAGACTGTTTTAATACATACTGATGATTTTGTGGAATAATTATTAATAATATCCTTGCAAAGTATTAATAACACTTTGGTAATGAACTTTCTGATTCTTTTTCTATTTTTATTTATATTTGGATGATAACAAAGTTCCATCAATTAAGGTCAGCAATATGTTCTTTTGAAATTATTAAATTGAAATATTTTCTGTTATTTAAAATATAATTTTGAAAATTTATTATTGGCCATGAAAATAGATATTTAAAAATGAAATTTAGGTTAATAAAATATAAAAAACCAACCAATCATTTGGTAATTAAATATAAATTTAAATTCCAATATTTACAGTCGTTATTTGCATCTCACATAAAAAGTATTATTATAATAAATAATTATATGTATAAATTATGCACTTTTATTGATACTAATAGAATATAATTATACAGTTATAAATTATTACTTTTGCTGAATTGAAGATTTGAAAAGATAACCAAACTGCACATTCTAAATAAATTGTTATTAATACAAGAAATAAATGCATTTACCAGTTATTGATATATTTTTCAATTTTTAGATGATAATGTCATCAGCAACTCTAGATCACCCTTTGAAGATGGGTAACAAAATTAAAAAAGGAAATGAAAATACAAAGGCTGACAGAATTTCTAATGCAACACATAAAAAGCATAAAGAAGACAAGCGGCATCTTAAGTTTAATCGGAAACGTATTCAAAATTTTACTGGAAATGGTAAATTCTGCCCACCATATAAGCGTAGAAAAAAGGAGAGCTTCATTACTCCTACAAAATTCTTGCTTGGTGGTAGTATCAATGATCCGCTAAATTTAAACAGTATGCAAGATGAGGAAGTAAACAGAGCAATGAATGCTGTCACTCCAAAATCAAGTCCTCTACCAACTCCAAAACATAGGAAAGAAGCTATCGAAGTAATTATTCCACCAAATCCAAGTGATCCTTTAAATCTCAATAATTTGAATGACGATGACTATGAAAAAAGACTCATGTCTCCAGTGAAAAAGAATGGAAAAAAGAGAAATAGAGTTAGAAACAGAAAGAAGTCATTGGTTTCATTAGCTGTTGATTCAAACAAATCAGAAGAAATAAAAACAAATCAATTAATTTCAGTTGAAGACATTCAAGTCACACAAAAAGTTGAAGAAAATATTGATAAAGAACAACCTCAGAAATTTAATTTAACACTACCAAAATCTCTTTCTGAAGAAACTGAAAGACCAAAAGAAGAGCCAACTATAAAAGAACCAAAACTGAAGTTAAAAATCAAATGTTTGGATGAAATAAAAGATAAAAGAATGAGGAAATTAGATATTAAGGATAAGATTGTTAGCCCAGTAATACCTCAACCAGGTGCATGGAAGTCAAGACCCCAGTATCGACCAAATCATCATCATGATAAAAAGAAAAAACATCAAAAGCAACCAAATTTCAAAGATAAAAATGCTAAATTTCAGTATGGGAATTACAATCAATACTATGGATACAGAAACCATCAGGAAAGAGATACAAGACTAACAGTATTCTCTCAGAGAACAGAACTTTTTTATCAAAAAGATGTGTTGGATGTTGGTTGTAATATAGGTCACATTACGCTTTCAATTGCAAGAGACTTTGGTGCAACAAGTGTTACTGGACTTGATATTGACAAAAAATTAATTGGTATTGCAAGGAAAAACATTAAGCATTATGTTATTTGTGCTCAATCTCCAGCACAAACTGACGATAGAAATCATAAAAATGATACTAATATCTTCCCAACTTCAATGCTAATTAACTATGGACCGATAGATATACCTGGTTTTGAAAATCCCAATAAACACAAGGGTTTTCCTTATAATGTTACATTTGTTCAGGTAATCATTGGTTTCTAATTTCATAAATTATTTTTAATTAAATAATTTATTTTGAAGTTAAGGAATAATTTTTTAAATTATATTAAATATATTAATTATTATATTAATTATATTAATTATAAATTTTATCATTATGCACAAATATTATTTTGATTTTACAGGGAAATTATGTGGTGGATGATGATCTTTTATCTACAAATCAGATGCATCAGTTTGATACCATCTTATGTTTATCTGTAACAAAGTGGATACATTTAAACTTTGGTGATGCTGGACTAAAAAGATGTTTTAAGAGAATGTACGCACAACTAAAACCAGGTGGAGTTTTGGTTCTTGAACCTCAAAATTGGAGTAGTTACACAAAAAAGAAAACGTTAACTGTACGTAAAAACTGCTATCTTATTATAAACTGATAAAAAATGTTAATATTGTGAATCTCTTTTACTTAAAATTTTTTAATGAATCAAAATGTAATTATTAAAAGGAAATTTCATAAAACTGAAGATTTTTATATTCAACAAAAACTAATAAATAAATCAATGTTACAGGAAAAAATTTACAAAAACTTTCATGCTATTAAGTTGAAGCCGCCAATGTTTACGAAGTACTTGTTGTCAGACGTTGGTTTCCTGACATGTGAGGTGGTTTCAGTGCCGCCTCATCCATCGAAAGGTTTCCGGAGACCAATTTACCTTTACACAAAATCCTACGTGATATTAAGCCCAGAGTCACCACTGCCAACATTGTCAGAATTAGGTGCCTCAGTGAAATCAACAGACCAAGAGATGGAAAATTCAGGGTTAGATAATATTTTATATTAAATTAGTACTGATGGTTTCATTGGCATGTGCATTTTTGTATTTCTTGTTAGTTGATAAGACTTTGATGCAAGATAAATATTGATTGTGGTTATCTTCACTGCGAATTGCTAGTTAAATGTATTTTACTTGTTACATCAGGTTAAAAGTAATTTTGAGATAATAGTATAAATACCCTTATTAATAGATATTTTTATGATTATTATGATTAGATTAACAAAACAACTAATGAACCGTAATTAAATCATAAGCCAATAATAATTTAATAATCTCAGTCGATTTTTGAAATAATATTTAAAAAGAAAGAATTAATATATGAGCTAATTTTTAATTTAACTTTCAGCGTCGTAAAGCCATTTATTAAGTTAAAAAGGAAGGGACAGGAATTCTCACCTCTGTCACCAACATACATTCCTGTGTTTCCCGTGGAGTCGAAGTTCATAAGTGAGCATCTCGATAATGATCAAAATTCGAAGATTGACTCGGAAGACAGAAGATTGTCCGAAGAATCTCAAGAACAAGAAGACAATGAGGCAAGTCAAACTCCCAAACCACAAGAAGATAAAACATGAGCTACTTGAAGATAATGACAGCGGAGTCTACGATACCACCAAGCCTCGTTTTCACAAGAGTCATAATAATTATATAGTCTTTCAAAGAGTCGCGTGTAAATGAGCATTTCTTTTTACTTCGAAAAGAAAGACTAATTTGGATATGTAATTTGTAAAAAAATAAGTATACATAGTACAGTTAAGAGACTTTAAAGGGTAAAGTAATCAACCGTAAGAGAGAATTTCTATGATTCCTGGCGACACGTTAAAGCGTTTTTGAAGGTAGCGAAGTCTCGGAAATGGTTTCGCTTTTCGAGGCGCACTTTTTTCATGTTCAATAAAAAAGAAAAAGTTATAGTAAGTAATAAATAGTTAACAGTGTAAATGATAATAAAAAGAACAACATGCGATTTGTTCATAATGTAACTTCGGTGGACTGGTTATTTCATCACTTAACGCATCACTTTTCTTTTTTCATTTCGTATCCATTGCTTTATTTTGCAAGAATTGAAACATTCCTTGTGGATAATATTCTGTTTTACCAACTACTACTCTATTCTTTATTATAATTTCCTTTTATAATTCATGAAATATTAGTGCATCGTTTGAGTTGTAACGTGTGTGAAAAGTTTATGCGTCTCTGCGACGGTGGAGTTTTCTTTATTTTTTCATTTCGTTTTCAATGAGCTACCTGCGTTGACCTGCAACAGCTTGTACTTCTACATCTGAAGATGGGTGCGTCGGTGGAAAGAACAGGATTGAGCGATATATACTTCGAGGTACTCGTAGCTAAGTGATTCTTTATACCTGAATAAAATTCTTAATTTGAGATTAAATGTATGCAAGTAAATATGAATTATACACATCTCATCAGCATGAATAGTCATTGTTGTGTAGACATCAATCGATAAAATTAATACATTAATAAATTATTAAATTAAGTCGATAATAATGAAGTGTACAAATTTGTTTACCTTTAGTAAAATACCACACATTCCTGTTCTTTATTTCTCCAGAAAAATGAGCGATGAAGAACGCGGACGAAATTGTACTGCTTTAGTCTGTTTATGACTAACAAAAGTATTATGTTAATTTTCAAGGCTAGTATCAATATGCTTACATCACTAATAAAACGAGGCGCCAGCGCCTCTTATTCAAGTACATAATTGATTCTTTTTCATCTTTGTAGCAAAGTCACCCTAATGTCTTTGATAATAATTTCATTTTGATTGTTCAAAATATTGAATATTTTTGTCAGTGAATGTACTCTTGACTTATATTTTTAAGAGTATTACGCTATGATTTCACAAATACAAAGTATTGGTATCTATAACATAATAAATACCCCAATTTTTGTTTGTGAAATCGTTTACATAGTAGAATAATATACAATGATGATATAGTGAATATCTTTATATCTGATAGCAATATAAGACGATTTCAAAAGAATTTTATTTAAGACTAATGCAATTACATTTCATTCTTGCGTGATAACGATATTACTAAAAAAAGTTTGAAGCAATGATCAGAAGAGACTTTATCTTGCAAAGCTTTTCGGACAAGAAATTCTTATCTAGAATCGAAAATTGTGCATACGGAAACTGAACTGTTTATTTTTTTGTACATTGAGTTATGTGATAAATTTATCGGTATTAATTATTGTATTATAAATTTGATTATTTTATGATTTCTTTCTCAGAATTTTGTGTTTACGATAAATTTATATTTATAAAGAATAAATCGTTGTATCAACCTAATCATATTTATGCTTTCTATGTTTAATTTTTCTTTCATATAGATTAAGTTATAATAAATTTGCAGAAATAAGTCCAATAACGTTAAACAATATTTCACACTTCAAAAAGTTGGAGTACTCTATATTTTTTTACCTATTCACATATAATTACGACACGACGTAATTATGCATTTAAAAAAATGTTACCGTTTTACTTTTCGACAATCAACAGATTTATTTACTTATAAAATATAGCAAAAACTGTATCCTATATAACTATATATTATATCACTACGAACTCGTTCATAAAGTTCCTTGCCATACTATTTATACGACATATTGCTTCACAGTGAGTTATAGTGATGATCTTTGAGAAGTCTCGACCTACAGATAAAATTGCATTGTTCGTTGTATATGAGACCATAAGAAAACAGCTCTACCAAATATTTTTGGCATTAAAGGCATTAGGGTGAGGTTGCGCCTGCATTGATAAAATATTCGAACTCGACGAAGGTGAAACTTCGAACGACGCAAACGAAGTGATACCAGCAAATAAAAAGAGAAAATGATACTTTCCTGTGCGTACACATGTAGGAATATATACGATATACATGTATCGTAGATGTACGACATTGTATGTATATTGAGTGAGTATCGGCAGGTTGAGTGTCGTTCGAAGTTCCCGTATACAATAATATTTCGTAAATCAATGCTGGCAGACGAACCATGGCAGGTAAGTTGTGAGGGGCCTTCCGAGGAGGAGCTCGATTCAAAAGAGAGACGCAGTAAACGTTTTTTTGTCCTACATTTCTTCATGCAATTACTTTCTACACGATTTTTTGGTCGCTTCGTGCTGGCTCTAAGATGTATATATTTTTTGTTTCAAAGTTGCCGCTTACAAATTCTACTATTCGATATAAGATTATATCCTTTAAAAATATCGTATTTTTTTATCTTATATTCAAAAAATACTCAATTTGCCGCTTGCAGGCAAATTCAGCGATATCAATTTCGTACGCTATATATTTAGACTTCTGCGTTTCTTTACTATATTCTTGTTTCCTATAAAAAGACGATGTTGTATCTTTTTATTCGGCGTCACATATCTTCTTTGATTTAACTCAACGCCTTTGTCGACCAATTATAACTAAACTTTGATAAGAAACGTCATTTCCTTTTAACAGTCTAATTGCTTAATTAATAAGTTGAAATCAACAATTATTATATATACAAAATGAATATAGGACAGAAACAATCGAGTGTTTAACGTTAAATCGATTGCTATAACAGACAACAAAGTTACACTTGACTTTGCCGCTCTAACTCATGACACATTCAGAAAAATAACTGCATGAAACAATAGAAATATAATTTTTTTTTCACGACAGCAAAATCAACACCTCTGTGCACAAAATAATCCCTAAGAATCCCTTAACGATTCCTTCTCGCCAATATCTGCTTCAAATCATCAGCCTGTTAGAGAACAAACCACAGTCCCTCATCATGGCCCATTAGGATGGAAGAAAGCTCGAAAGAAAAACGTTTACTGCGCGCTAATGATGATGGGTGACGCGGCTGGTGGACTGTGGTAGTCTTCCGGTTATTCATCGACGAGCTCCCAGAGCATAAGTGCGGCATCGGTGCCGCCGACGGACACCACGTTCTGGTCGTTGTACAAGAAGCGCGAGCACGCCACGAGCGAGCTGTAGACCTTCTCTTCGACGTATTCGGCCTTGGCCGAGGTGCACGGGTAACGGAATAGCCGCAGGTAGCCTTCGGCGTCGCCGCTCACCAGCATGTCGTGCGCCGCCGAGCGCGACGACGTCGTCACCACCGTTGTCAGTGGGTAGTAACGATTGTTCCACATCCCTGCGAAAATTTCGCTTGGTTTGATACTGCATCAAGGGCGGACAGGGGGGGGGGGTTGCTTCGAGTGGTTGCGAATGGGCCGTTTTCTTACCAGATACGAGGTACCCAACTGTGCAGTTATGCGTGTACCACTTGACGTCTTTCATTATCAAAGGACTCTTTTCCGAAGACAAAGCCTTCACATCCCCTGTTGGACAAAGAAACATTTGATTATTCATCTGGAATGATCGAGTGATCGTGTTCAGTTGTAGACCATGAGACTCACAGAACACAAGATCGTAATCTTGAGTGACGGTCTGCAAGAAACGACTGTCGGAGCTCCAATCGAGCTGCACAAGTGGCTGAGTCCCTCGGATCTTGTTGCTCTTCTTGTAAGAGAATCCATCCCTGGACACTCTGAACAAGTAAATGCTGCCATTCTGCGAGCCCATGGCAAGCATTTCTCCAGCTACAGCGACAAATCATTAGGTTTGCACGTCAATGCCTGAAATCGATCGTGCAACTTGGCTGAACTTACTGGGATTGTAACCGATGCAAGATAGCGGCGAGCCGCACACTCTTAGCGTGGCCACGGCAGCGCCGGTGTCGGCCGCGAGAACCAGGAGGTGGCCTTCGGATGATCCCGCGGCGAGCGCCACGCCGAACGGGTGGAATGCAATGCAGATGCATTCGAATCCAACCTGCGGCGACCAATTCGTCAGTCCTCGAATGGTCAATCTTTGGAATCTTTGGAAAAGCGCGCGCTCGTTTACCTGCGTAGTCCACAGGAGCTTGTGCCGCCTCCAGAGAGCGATATTTTTGTCATGACCAGCAGTAGCAAAAACTTCGTCGTCAGGATGGACGGCAAGACCCCAGAGTTGCCTGCCGTGACCGAAGACCACTTGGTTGAAGCGTCGCTGAAGCGAACCTTCGAGTATGATGTTACGGGTAGTGCCAACGTAAATGTTGCCGTCGTTGCGGCCTGGGCGCTGCGGATAAATGCTTCGCACGCCGCCGGCTGATTCTGGAAGCTGAACCATTGGTCTATTTTAGAATCCGTGTCGAATATAGTAACAGTCCGCGAGGTCTTTCGGCGAGCAGGCGAACCTTCGTGTCCGTGATGCGTTTGTAATTCTGAAGCGAGTCCCAAGCAGCGATTTTGCGATCCTTTTCGCCGCCAGATAACAAAGTTCCTTCGGACAGCATCACCAGAGAACTGATCCCTTTGTTGTGGGCTTCGAATTCCATCCTTATGAAATATGCTCCATCCGCGTCGACGGAATAAACAGTGATGAAACCGTCGCTGTCGGCCGTGACAACGTCGCCATCTTGCTCGAACTGAATGCTCGTAACGTGTGTCCTCGACGGCTGTAGAATCGCGCAAGATACTTTTTAGCCTGGTGCACGCACGCACGTAAAGCTTGCTTTTGCATACTTACGGGTTTGATAATATCGGTTCTCTCGAAAAACCCGTCTTTCCTGCGATTCCAGAACGTTAAGTGACCTTTGCCATGCGTGATCAGAAGATTGTCATCCAGCGGATGGAAAGCGGCACCTGTCAAGTCCTCTTGCAGTGTCTGTCAAATAGAATTTGCAAATTGTGAACGATCGCTGCAGATGAACGCGAGAGCGATGGAGTTAACTTACGGCAACTTTCCCAAGCAAGTGTCCCCATTGCCACTGCCAAACGGAAAGAATAGCCTCTCTACCAGCGTCAACTACCAACACGTAACTTCCACCATTCTGTCAAACGAAATTGCGCGTATAATTACCGAATGATAAGGCATTGAGTCAGCAGCGTATAAAAAACGCGGATACCAATTGTGAGAAAGCCAATGCAGAGACTCCCATTTGAAACTCGGTCATGCCGAAAACGTAGAGTGTGAGAAGAGTCTCCGTCGACCAAATTCTCACGTGAGGTTGAGCTTTTCTGTGTCTTCCCGCTCGCTGACCAGACGCAACTAACTCCCTGCTTGGGTGAACCTGCCAACGACAAAGCTCATCAATGATCCTGTTCCTTGCGCCTCGAAAGTTCACGGCTAACTTGCCTCCATGCACGTAATATCTTCGGTGTGTCCGATGTAATGCCTCTGTGAATTCTCCTCACGATCGTAAAGTACAGCGACAGCCGCCACGTAATACAACAACTCTCCGCTTGGTAAAACCCAAAGATTACGCCGCGTGTCCGTGCCTCGGTAGCCGTATACCCATTCCAGCTGCAACTTCTTGTCGGGTGGCGAATTATCTACTGGCGGTAGGTGGGACGGCGGATAGAACGAACGTCGAAGACCGCGGATCGTCACTCGAGCAGGCTCTTCTCGTAAAACTTCTACTACGCTGTAATCTGCGAATAAATAATCAACGGATTTTGCTTTCGTGTTTTCATGTTCACGTGATTTTTCTTTCAAAGTCGACGCAGTTATAGTCGCGTGTTGTTTGCATTGATTTTGCTTTTTTTTTTCTCGCACGCACAGTAACCCAAGTGTTTAATCGTGAAAATCCGACTAGGTATGAGAACTAACGTCATTTCATTTGATAATGGGGTGCTTTTCGTTGGAAAAATGAATATGACGATTTCTGACATTGAAAGCCATTAATACACCTTTTTTTAATATCTCACATATGTATCTAAACGGCTATACATCACAAATGTCAACTTTAAAATCGAATATTTTCCACAGTAGCTTACACGCGAAGGTAAATAAAAATATTTGAACAGGCCCTTGCGAGGTATCGATCAAGTAGAGTATTATTTGGCAGAAATAATGTCTGACTTACCATTGACTCTAACCACTTCGGACTCGGGAGCATAAAGCGAGCGCGGCCTGCTTTTGCTACGAGCTCGTCGCTGTCTTCCACTGACATCTTCGACAACAGTCGGCGGTCCCCTACTGCGTGACCTCCTTGCTGGTGAACCAACCACTGATGCCACACCACCGCCGCCACTTCCTGTGCTCAGGTAAAACGTATCCACGTCGGCGAACTCGTTACGCAATTGGGAGAAGCTTCGCACCTAGGCGATCAAGAAGAAATTTATGTTTTTAACGAGTAAACGTATTTTCTTTTATATTTTCAATCTCTTAATTACTTTAATATTTTTTTACAGGGCATATCTTCGCGTTTATTATTATTGCCTGATTTTTCGAGAATTTTAATATAAATATCGGAATTTTTACATTTGTTTGTATTGGTTTTCGCCTCTTTAAACGGAATAGAACGAATAATGATAAATCGAGAAATGAATCAGTGCCGATCCCATCGAATAAAGAAAAATTAGAAGTCCACATTTATCGCACGACAGAGTGAAAAATAACTTTCGAATCACTTAATTACTTTCACACAACGAAAGTGAAATAAACTACTCAGAGTTGTTAATAGGCATTCGGCATAGTTAAAGTTTGCTGACGCAAAGTAAAACGCATGTTAGTGACGCAGTTTGCAGAAAGAACGGTACCAAGCTAACAAAGAGGCGCATCAGTGGCGAAGGGCATCATAAAACCAGACGCATGTAGGTGACTTTAAGGCGCTATCCGCTACTACGCCAGGTGAGCGAGTAAGCGAAAATTGCAGAGTTTTGAATTTGAAATTCATATGCGGTCGTGACCTGAAAAAAACCTTACTCGCCGCTGAGGATCTCCGACCTTTTCCTCGCTCTCTCTCTCTCTCTCTCTCTCTCTCTCTCTCTCTCTTTCTCTATGATATACGTATAACGAGGCCGAGAATGTATATATATAAGTACACGCGTGATATGTCGATCGAAATTTTTCGGGCGGAGGAAAAATTACCGCGTCATTTTTACGTCAGATCTGTGCATGCGATTAAAGTCGCGTGATATCAAGCAAACACTTCGAAGGCTACGTACGAGCTGCGAAGACGGGAGAAAGGGGATGTGCACGCGTGGCTACTTTTAACGATTCTTCTCTTCGACGCCAGCGCAAATTAACGGTATTTCGGAAGTTGTTACGTTTCTTTCCTTTTACCGGGCGTTCGGGATTTGGCGCAACAACCATTGTATCTCTCGAATCTTTTATCAATGATTGGATTGTAGATCCGATCAAATGTCACAAATGTTTCGTATAAGGTAACTTCATCGACCGGTAAAAGATTGGCGAGCATTTAAATTTATGAAACAAGCCGATCGGCGCGAAGTCGTTCGCGACCTTATTACGTCTCGCGCGGTGAAACGCGCGCGTGTCTTTCTCGCGTTTTCGCATCAGGCATGCATATTTATGGGCTAGGCGCGGGCATTTTTATAAGGCAGCATGAATAACCGACACAACTTGGCTTGACTTTTGATATATTTTTTTTTCTTCTCTGATGTAGGCTGCTTTTTTCAGCTGTAATTTTCAAGTTGCTCTCGCGATGATAAAGATCTAACGGGAAATGCCGGGTGATTTGATTTTATGTACGTATCGATCGATAGCAACTGATTTTAATTACGTAAATCGAAAGTATGAATTTTTGGAACTCGTCGCAGACCGTAGATTCTCGTGAAGAAAGAAAAATTGAAAACTCCACTTGGCACGCTAAGGACAAAAATTCGAGATGGAACTGAAAGCTGGGAGCCGCTTATACTCGACAGTGCTGACAGTTGTGCCAAAGAGTCACGATGCGGGGATGGCAGTCATGCTCGATCCTCGCGACGCACGAGCAATAAAAAGCGTCGAGCGAGCGTGCCCCGCGCTTATTATTTTACAAAGCCGTAATTCAAAAAGCGCGATAAATTCATCGCGAGCTCCGCCGCTAATTACAACGGTGAACGAGGTTAACCGCTTGGGCGCGATGTATTCTCTCTCGCGCGCGCCAGCGAAATTTATTCATTACAACGGCGCAGGAAAGGATATAAACAAGTCGCGATCGAGCGTGCTCGCGACGGACGAATTGAACGGCAGCGTTACGTAACTGTCGCGCGCGCATGATGCATCGCCAAAGTTGCGTGTACACCTATATCTGCTCTGGCGAGAGCTCGCCACGTCTCGAAATTGCCAGTTTTGCTATCGCGAAATTCATTCATACGAATGGTAATCGAAATTTCGAATTGGCATGGAAGCGAGAAAATTGTTACATCGGACGAGGTCGGGGTGAGAAAAAAAGGGTGTTTTTGCCGCAGACAACGAGCCACGGCGTTTCGTGCGCGTGGCTCGACGTCGTATGCAAAGCGACAGCCCTGACTTCTTTATTGCGTAGCTGAAAAGTCTTGCGAGAAAATGTTCTTTTTTTCCTTTTGTTGCCTTCGACGCGAGTCCAAGACTTGCGAGCCGGAATTCGCAGTAGGCAAATACGTCGCGTGCACGTGCTTCCTCTTGCACGACCAAGCCGTTCACTCTGAATTAATACAAATGTCTTGTATCCCTACCTCTTGTCCCGACACTGTGAACATTCTTTTGGCTCCATTCATTTTCAGCACTTGGCCCAAATCCTCGAGGACCTCTTCGAAGGGCTGCGATGTGCGCAAGTTCAGCAATACTCGGCACTGTAGTCAACAAAAACACCAGTCACATTGGCAATGAATCGCGTAGTAAAGCTACATAGCGCACTTTACGGCATATATATACATGAATGAGTTTTAGGTGACAAATGGATAGGCTACGTGCTGGCCAACGCTCGGAACGATGTTATCGTTTACGTTGACATTGCGATAACATCGATACGATCGCGTTCGAAGGCCAATTAACTCTGTGAAAATGTCCATTTGGCGCGCGGGGCGAGAGCCGATATAAATTCAAGGTGAGAGAAAGAAAGCAAGAAACAGAGCGCGCCGTAAGCACGTGTAAATTGCTGGAATGGCGGTGTCGTATCGGTTGATTTGCTCGGGCGAACCTGCACGGTGTGATCGAGATTGTTGACGATGCGGATAACGCGTCCGGACGAAGGCTTGCCAGCGGCCCCGGCGGCAGGCACCTCGTCGCTGATCGAGGCTTTCCTGCTAAGACTGGCGACGGCCGGTGTGCTGCGACTTTGCCAGCCACCGAGGCCTCCGCCGCCGGCTGGCCCGCTGCCGGCGGCTATGCTGCCCGACCGGCCGCCACCACCGCCACCACCACCGCCACCAACCGGACCCGAAGATGCGTACCACTGATTGCTCTTCTTGCCGTAACTCGCCGGCTGAAATGAAGAAATGTGAAAACGTTTATGTGAGTCGCAAAACGTGGGAAAGACATATTTCACAGTCGTGTTCCTTTCGATTCTTCTTGTCTGTTTAGCAAATGAGTTTCGTACGGGTCGACTCGGAAAGATTATTCATGGCGCCGTGTACTGTAAAGTATCGATGTCTGACTACAATTGATTTGAATGAAAAAATTGTCAATCAGGAAATATATTTGCAGAGGCGACGTCGCGTAAAAGCAGCGGAAAAAAATTAAAACGAATCAGAGCGACCGAGGGCTGTGTGACTATGTCAGACGGATTTCGAGGTCGAGTGCGTCGGAATAGCGAGCAAATAGAGAGCGTCGTCGGCTGATTTCGAGGGGGGTAGTATAGAGAGTGGTTTCGAGTAGAGGGTGATTTGGATGCAGACTCTAGCCTAGATTGCACACACACGCACACACATTCACGGGGTTCTCGTTCTACTTCTCCGTATTTCTCCTTTGCTAGCCTAGTTTGCCCTCTCAAGACTTATGTCCTGCGCGCAGGTGGAATTGAAATTGCTGGAAAGGCCGCTCTTTTCATAGTTGACTATGACGTGTCGACGCGACGACCAAGTCGCTCGTAATCCCACGTAACTCTGTAATGGCTCGCCGTGGGAGAACGATTCGTTCGCGAACACGGCCTTCGTCGGCTCGCGCGGGCACAAGCATGTCATTCGTGAATTTCTACCTGCATCATGTCGGCCGGCAAAGAGATGACCTCGAACGAGTCGCTCATCAACACGACGAAGGCCGAGTGCTGGCCTGGACTATGATCGTTCCGTTCGTCGTAACTGCGCTCCTGCTCGACGTCCTCGTCGTCGTCGTCGTCGTCCTCCTCCTCCTCCTCCTCCTCTTCTTCCTCCTCGTACTCGTCCTGCTGCGAGAGCTGCTGCGAGTCGAAGGAGGCGCGTGGCAACGACAGCGAACTCTTGCGTCTGCTGCCGAGTATCGGGGCAGCTCCTGCTATAGCGCTGCGCCGATGTAAGCGGGGGGCGCTTGAGCTCGCGACGCTCAGGACGGATGAACGCCGTCGGCGATCCAAATCGAAGGTTGTCGAGGCCTCAGGGCCCGAGTCCGAGCGGCAAGACGAGCTCGTCGGCGACTCAATGGTTGACCAGCCTGACTAAGCTTGCGACAAGCTTTGTCACTGCGGCTTACCACTCGACACCTCTCTTGCAGCTTTTCTTCCTCTTGCCGACTGGACTTGCGCGAGAATAATTGTTGCTGCTCGTCGCATCGGATAGCTTCACCTTCGTACACCAGACACGTCCGTTTTCAGTTTATTTCACCGCGCTTTTTTGCTTGGGAGCTTGCTCGATTTTTTTATCTTAAATTAAATGGCAATCGGTGCGCGCTTGATGATTAATCGATTCGCCTTGCTCTGCAGTCCGACAAAAGCGAACGTCTTTTATTTTGTGTGGACGTATTTTTGTCACACAGTTGTAACCAATGCCAGCTCGATAAAGCTTGCAATAACGAACTTTTTCATGGCGGTTCGATTGCGCGCTCGAGTACGCTAGATTTACCTGAATCTATACCTTGAATCGTGAAAAATATTTTTGTATTTCGACACGTTGGAAAAGGTTGGCTTGGAAGCAAAGGAAAGAATGATTAAAAATCGAGCAATCTCGAAAACTCCCAGTGATCCAAGACTAATAGTAACTGCAGGCTCATACCTTCCGTTGATCGGAGAAGCAGTCGCGCTCGACCGGTCACCTTAATGACTACGCGATTGACGACATTCTCGTCTGCCGTCGTGGAGTATGTGGAACCGAGTGGGCGCGTGCCGCGTGAAAATAATCTCGGAGACTAATCCATTCGGCCGCAAGCGAGCAACGGCCAGCAGCTCATTCGCGGCTGGTATCACGAGCGCGGCTAATCTGGCCGGTCGCTGCTGCACATCTATCTTCCGACTGCTCTTTTCCACGGCTCATTCTTCGTTTGCCGATCTTCATCTGCGCGCCTCCTCTTTCCCGGAGGGCACTTTGTGCCGCGAAACAATCGAGTTGCCAGCGAACGCTCGTGTGCAAACAAAAAAAAAACAAAAAACGCGGTGACCAGTCGAAAGCAGGGAGAGCGCGCGCGTTGGACGGTGGTCCTCGATCGACTAGTGCGGCGCACTTTCGCACTCTGTGTCTCTCGGCGGGCCGCGGAGAGTTGAGAAAGGGGGTCGAGCGCCCGGAAAAAGGGGGCCACTACACGCCGAAGAGAGCTTTCGCCGTCCCCACCACCAGCACTCCTCTCTCTCTCTCTCTCTCTCTCTCTCTCTCTCTCTCTCTCTCTCTCTCTCTCTGTATATGACGTTTGCCATCCCACCCTTCTTCACCTCTTCACTGTTATATACTGACAGACGCGATTTCCGAGCTTGATCTTCAAGGCCAGGCGACTAGTAGTTTTCTTCTTCTTCGTCTTTATCATTTGTTGCATTAATGCATGATGCTTTCTTTTCTTCTTCGTTTGCATTTTCATGACTTATTTCTTTCTTTTTTTTAGGGGGTGATTTTTCACTTGCGTTGAAGTCTAAATTACTTTCGGCTTTCGGCAGGCGAAGGTGCAATGAGCCTAAGAAATAAAATATCCTCAGCCCACGGTATTCGAGGATGAAGTGACAGATGCGCATGGACGTCCGACCGAAATCGGACTCGCGCCACTTGCGCCGGAGAAGCCATTTCTGACGTAGGCGCGACGGCAAACCAAGAAAGAAAAAGCTGGCACTCGCGAAAAGAGCACAGCTGAGTTGGCTCGAGGGGGGGTAATGAAGTTTGCACTGCTGTCGTGTGTTGTAAACTGGCAGCTGCGCGCTCTGGACATAGAGCGCGAGCGCGCGTGTGGGTGTGTGTGGTTTATAGAACGCGCGGCCCGATTATGCATGCTAATGGACTGCTCGCCCGTGTGCTCGAACACGAGAGCTGGCGTGGCACGTCACTACACTGCAGATCGCCCGAACACGTTCGATTTCCACGTTCTAGAAGCATTCTACAGACAGACACCTGTCTATATATGCACGTCTGAATATGTGTTATGCCGTTGCGTCTATCTCGTCATTTTTCTCCCCTGAGTGACCTACTGTTCGCTAGCCGCTGTCGTGGACTTCTAGTTTCAGAGGCTGCGTCGTTCCCCTTGGAAAAATGGAAGTAATTTATGCTTATCGAGATGTCAAATATTATTAAGTGCAGCACCTATAACAAGTACCGCGAAATCATATTTCATCACTGATTCGGATCGTGGACAATAAATTTCAGTGAACTTTTCATACCCACAAACCGCTTCATGCGATTTTCTAGTGCACGCAGTAAACCATAAAACATGTAATTTTAGATTGCATGCTTATCTCAGCCAAGACTGTTGTTTAAATAAAACGAATGCCATCGTTCCGATACCTCGAAACATTTGTCACAGATTGCAAAGCACAAAGAATCCATTCCATCGTTTCAACGAGAAAGGAAAAAGTGGCAGGTGCAAAATGTAGATTGGCACGCGCGTGTGAATGTCTGTGTGTGGCACAAAAGATCCACGCGATTCGATACTCAAGAGAGAGAAAGAGAGAGAGAGAGAGAGAGAGAGAGAGAGAGAGTGGCCCGCGCCAAAACTGGGATCGGCTACTACTTGCAGCTATTTCGTTCAATTAACCTAATAGGATTTGTGCTAATGCAAAAATCGAGGTCTGCGAGTCGTTCGAATGGCCCTCTTTTTCTCATTAAGGGTATGGCTTCCGTGATTTACAGACAAGGATCTTTTTTTTCGATCTCGTTATAGTGATTGAAGTCTTATTTTTGTATTCGTCTTTCGAGAGATCGATCGTTTCCATTAAATCTTTATAGATCGTATTAATTTTTTGCTTCAATTCGCGATACTTGTACGGCTGACAGAAACCATACAGAAAGACAGAGGTAATTTCTGATTAGAAAGGATTGGATATGAACTTGCTTCATTTATTATCGGTTCGAACAAACGAATCATTATTGATAACAAATTAACGTTAAGAAAGGCAGCGAAAGTACACGAACGATCGAACTTGCGATAACATCTGCTTTGTAAAAAAATTGACTTTGTCTCCACGAAAGAGAGAAAGAGGCAGGTGATTGAGCGTTTCGGGGGCAAATAGGCGCGCCAATCGATCTACGTACCCCGCCTCTTAAGAATGAAGGATGATCGCGTCGTTAATCAACGTCGATTAGCATTTCCAGGCAATGCAGTGAAGAATTTCAGCTGCATCGTATTTGCCAAATTATGCAAAAGAAACATTACATCCGAAGATAAGATTATTAAATACATGTTAATTGTTTTCTCGATTATGAGAAATAATAAGAACGTAGCGGGCTTTGAAGGTATACGACGATTGGCAAAATCAAGTTGCATGTATGTTTTCCAAAGCTGCAAATCACTCGGTGAATAATTGTATTTTGTATGCTACGTTCAACTTTGGCGACATTTCATTAAGTGAAATTTATGCATGCATTCTGGGCTTGACGTCATTAAAGCTTCGGAATTGATTGCGAGTGGTTGAACTGAGTATTGTGCAATGCTTCTGCGACGTAGCTTTCGTTTGAGTGATACCTGCATTTCTGATATTTAATCGATTTATCGCTTTGATGCATAGTTGTATTATTATTATGATTTCTTCGTTGGCTGAACGTGTCTTAACTTATAAAACTCGCTTACCCAAGCTACTCAACGAGCTTGATAAATCTGCCGTTGTAACGATCTGCGCTAATTACGATTCTGACAGACTGTCAGCTGTTTCAATCTTTCCATTGGAAATCTACTATCAACTAATTGGATCAAACACGTGCGCCAGGTTCTTCAACCACTAGCCACCAGAAGGAAAAGAAAAAGTAATTTGTGAAAAGTCCGTGAACCCACGGAGCAATCTGATTAGTCGGAGAATCACGCCCCCGGGGCCGACGAGTGAAAAAGGCATCGCTTCGATCTTGGATATGTTCCGTCGCCGAGCCCAGCAGCAGCAGCAGCAGCAGT